TAAAATACAACAGCATTGCGAACGGCCTAAGGCTTCCTTAGAGTATCACCTTAAGACTACAATTGCAAAAAATCCTCAGAATTTGATGCCCTTGGAATCTGAAATCTTCAGAATTGTGTTGGAATTTTCCTCAGAATTGGATTTCTCATTTCGCCTACGATTGTGACATATTCCAACCGAGTTTCCTTTCATTATCATTTTTCATTTTGTTAGATTCTGCTGACGTGATACAGAATTTCTTATTAAGCCGCTCGCCACTTCTAGGCAGACGCCATTTGAGCTGCACCTCCATTGTGAAGAGACACTCGTTAGTAGATATAATTATCTAAATTATGGTTTAGATCAGTGGCGTCGTGTCCACATGTGCAACCTGTGCACGGCACAGGTGTAAATAATTAAAAAAAAATGTGTTTAGATTTTTATAGCTTTAATGGTCACATTATAGCTCTACTTCTTTACTCCAGACCACAAGTGACCATGAATACACTATTTTATAGGGTGGGTCAATTAAATCTTCGACCTTGGTTTGCTTCAAAAAGGGTTGAATTCAGTTAGGATGGTCTGCCTAGTCCCTAATGCATTGATTTCTAAGCATGTTGATCAGGGCTCTACATTTTCGAAGCTCTAAAATGAACTCGAGTTTTATTTCTCTCATACAAACGTGTTCAACGCTTCATTTCTATAACGCCTAACTAGACTATCAGCAAGAAATGATAATGAAAAAGAAGCACGCTTAGAAGGAAACGCTGGCTGTGGATCTTCTCGTCGTTGCTTTGCTCATCGCTTTCAATGTAAATAACGTCGATTTTCTAGTTAAACGAAACCTCATTATGGCTTTCAATCCCCTTTCACGGTGATAGAGTGCACCGCTCTTTCAATTTGTTTAAAATGCATTATGTCCCGTTTTCGTTATTTTTTTTAGATAAATATGTGGATGGAAGATATAAACATATTACGTGTAATCTTCGAGTTTTTTCACGTGAGAAATGCTTTAAATATGTAATTTCATTTTCCGTCATATACGTCATGAAACCTCTGTTGATGTGTTTCATGAAAGAGAAAACTATCAAAGTCGAGCGCTCTTTCGCGCATCCGTTTCACCGAAGCGTGAAAGGAAGATCAATGGAGCGACGGGAGAAAGAGAGACAAGCGATTGAACATTTGTTTGTGCACGCCGACTGAGGTTCTAGAATGCTGCGAAGCTGTTCGACTTTAACAGAAAAAGAAAGCCAGCAGTCTCTTCGTCACATAGATTTGGTCGATTGAAGCTGATATTGTGACGCCCTGATGTCGATAACACTACCATGACTAAACTCGTTAAATAGTGCACCTAAAAGCGAGCTTTTTTGGGAGGTTGGTGGCAAGTTTGTGAATGGTCAAATGCCTGATGTAAGCCAAGCGATCTACTATCACCTCTTGAAACATACCACAAATTTTCCTCAATACATGGCGGTTTGCACCACTGGTTGTAATTGAAGCTTTCAGCAGTCACGCGTCAAACGGGAGCAACACGGAAACAGCAGTCTGGTACGCTTTAGACGTTATCATACTAGCAGACCGGTTTGAATGTGTGAGTTTAAATTAGAAGAACAATTGTGATGTATGAGTGCCCAAAGTGTGCATTTCTCGCTGTGCACTTGGATATCTGATTGCAGATAAAGAGATAAATGGAGAAAGAGAGCGCAAAAGCCCGCTCTCACTCTCTTGTCAGTTGTGAATCTCTTAATTGGGTTCTTTAGGGGTATTAAGGTAATTGCATATTCGTAATCTGCATTACAAATGGAATCGAAATCCAAAATTTCATCAATTTTCGAGCACTGGAACTATTTTAAATAAGTGTGATTACACATGCAAAAATCAAAATCTTAGCTCCCCTCGATGGTACTTCGTATGGGAACGAGCTCTCACCCAACTAACATTTTCAGCTTTGTAAGCCAACTTTTCCAGCGTTGTACTGTAAAGTAGCTGAAAAGAAGCTGCAGATACAGCTACAAGCAAAAGCTAGCAAAATAGTTTTGGAGAGCGTTTACTCAACTTTCTCACAACCATTATTCAATTTGTCAGTCGCACTGAATAACATCAGCCAATAAACTCTAATGTCACTTCTATACACACACTAATCAACTTTCAACTTGTAGCTGCAAAACAAAGCTAACAAAGTGAATATGTTACTCATTTGATGGCTTCTACACACCCAACCACTCTTGCTGAATAACATTAACATCAAAAGTGCTTTTTCAATAACTAAACAACCTGTACTCAGCTTATAAACTGTGTTAGAGCAACTTCGGAAGCATTTTCACAGTCAACTAGGTTTATTTTTAGACGTGTGCAGTTTTACAGCTTTTACTCTGCTCTTTTATAACTAGTCGAGAAAAGTGATTCATGTGCACTATTATAAAGCCTCTACTCAGTGATTTTGTTGTAGAAGGGAATGTTGATTTGTTTACGTAAGTTCAAAGTGTTGGCGTAGCACAGTAGGTAGTGTCAAGGTTTGCCAATGAGGTCGTCTCGAGGTCGATTCCAGGTTCCTCCGGTGCAGGCTAAATCATTTCGTGATGATTTGTAACTAATTTCGATTAATTTGATTCACAGCAAAATAAAATAAATAAATTCCTTCATAAAAAAGCGTAAACAATATTTAACCCGGCTTCAAGAGAAAGCTGTGTAGTGATTATTGGATAACCGAAAAAAGGTTGAATAAGCGCCTTTCAAGTTCACACACAACTAAACAGCAGGATAACAGCTGTATAGGCGTTAATGGATATGCAATAAGAGCTTCTCCCGACCGTTCCAACAGCCATAAGTAGCTGAGTAAGTTCGCCAGATTTGCTTGTATAGAGGTTGAGTAAAGGTTTCTTCACATCGTATAACGTTTGAATACAGCTTGATGCTGTATAAATGAAATGAGTAAAGCGTTTACGTTGTGAAAATTGTTAGTTGGGCAGTTTGTTAGTTTAGTGTCAAACAGTGAAGTGATTATTTTGCTTTTAATCTTGATTTAAAAATGGAGATGGGATCGAAAAAAATATCGTTGTGCTCAGAAAACGACGCCCTTTGAGATGATGTATGACAACCGACATATTTTTCAAAATTAAAGAACCCAATTACCGATAGTTGCGCCGGTGCGCCTATCAAAACTTATGAGCTTCCCCTGGTTCATTCTTATAGTGTTGTTCTGATGAATAAAGAGTTCAAGACCAACAATTGAAATGGCCTTAACTCCATTTTGTCAACAAACCTTTTAAGACCATTTTCTCGCGAACCGAAACCTACAGTCACAAACCACAATCGGTAGGGGAGAATTTCCCCTACCTGTTCATTATGTTTGCCTTTGCGGACTTCGGTTGGCGAGAAAATTGCATTACAAGGTTTGTTTACGAAATAGATTTGAGGCCTTTTCAATTGATGGTCTTGAGTTGATTAATTCAAGTTTGCTACCCAGGGGACTATGAAATTTCTCTAGATTTTGACATTGTTTTGTATCAAAAAATGTTTTAGTTTTGCAATTCCTCCTACTTCGGTTAGCGCGAAAAGGGCCATACAAGTTTTGTTTATACAAGATGCTAGGCCCTTCAAATGTTACGTTAGGTAGTGATATAACGAACAAAGGTTGGTGCACAGGTAAACAAATTAGGCATGCGACGCCTCTGGTTTAGATAAACATAGATCGTCAAATGTGCATACTTTTTGTTTTAATTGAACCGAAAGGAGCTTGAAAGATCATCTAAGTGAGACCCAATTTGTACATCGGAACATGGCAGCCACGTGGCGAATAGGATTTTTTTCGATTCAATTGGATTGACGATAATGACGTGAAATTTAACAAATCATATGCTGTTGCTAATTGGTGACTTGTCAGTATATTTGCAGGTTAGCTTTAAATATACTGTGATACTGTTATTGAAATAGAGATAATTACTATGTTTAAGTAGACAACATCAATCTAAATGGGTAGAATCTGTGCCAAAAACGACTCGCTCGCTGATTTTAAATCTTATTGTTCAGTCGGTGAGAACGTTTTTTTCATATTCTTTCAGTTTCTCGACTGTTTCGTTCGTCTCGTTGCAAAATTTTATTTTTTCAACACTCGTCGTAATTACTCGGCAAGCCTCGTTGGATAAACTACGACTCGTGTTGAAAAAAAATCTTCTCTTTGCAACTTGTTGCATAAATAGCTATTTTCGCATTATTAGTTTAGTTAGGAAAAGTTGGCCGTTATGATGAAAAAAGAGGTACAGGTATATCTCGATATAACATAACTGTCACTTTTGACTTCCATCGCTGATTTTTCGTAAACGATCATTCAAACAAGCAAAGTAATATCACATCACCATCGGGCAGATGAGATAATCCCCCATCTATTGATAATATTAATTTGTATGATTCAATTGTTATTAGCGAGATATTGGCGATGGAAGTCAAAAGTGACAGTTACGTTATATCGGGGTATACCTCTATCATGATGCGAAATTGTAAACAATGTTGAATGCAACTCGTTGTAAAATTTTATTTTTCCACCACTGATCGATTATTAATTATACTTATTAGATAAATGTACGACTCTTGCTGAAATTTTTTTCCTTCTGTAAATTGTTGCATAAATAACTATTATGATGCTTGATTGATCATGTATAGATTTTTCATATCTTTGATTTAAACTCCTTCAATTCTGGTTGCTTCTAGACTATTGACTAGATAGGCACTAGTTACGTTCACTCAATCTTTTGATTTTAAATTTCCCAATAGAATCATACTCATTTTGATTCAAATCGTCTCACAAATCTGCCACTTAATTTGTTAAAGTGGTCCATAAAAGAACACGCATTTTGCACCCCTTTTCCACACCCGAAGCTTTTAACTTCGTCGTGTAATATCACGTTATGGCAAGTCAATAAAACCCAATTACCACCTCCTGAAAAGCGGTCGACCGGTTTTCCCCTCTTGTCATTCCCTTAAATCTAATCGGTAGGAACGCAACACAACATAATTCCACTTACTTGCACCCTCGCCTCACTTAATCCCAACCGTTGGCTGAGTTCTTCCCTCATGAACGCATCCGGGTAGTGCGTTTCCTCGAACAACCGTTCCAGTTCGTTCAGCTGCTCCAGGGTAAAGTTGGTCCGCGAACGCCGCTGCTTGTTGCTGGCCGCCAGATTGGACAGTCCGCCTCCGTGACCGTTGAGAACGGAGTCCGACGGCACTGGAGAGGACTTAAGCTTGTCTTCGCCAATCGGATGGTGGCCGGTGTTCGGTTCATTGGAATCATCTTGATCTTGCTCGTCCGGTGAAATCGAATCACGCTTGTCTGTGGCAATAAAGGGATGTAATAGATGAAATTGAAAAGTATTTGCCATGGAGGGTACACGTTTGATTAATGATTGTTTTGAGCGTAAGAAACCATAATTTGTGTTGGAGAAGGATAATCACTCAGAAGGATTTCGACGTCGCTTCTTGACCGCAAAATTCAGGTCGAATGAAGCAATTCATTTATAATATTTCCTTTCGTTACATCACTATCTTCTTAAATTTCCTTTAGAATCAATGCACTTTATTTGTAGCAAAATGAAACATTTCCCTAGCAGTTCATATTACCAGCAATTCAGCTCATTAAAAATCTATTCCAAAATGCAACAAAATGAAGTTTTATGACCGATGTTGATGAGAATATAATTTCATTACATGCTGTGATTACAATTTCTCCACTTGCGCTATTCAAATTTAAAGCCCATAAACATTTCCTCATTAACATTGTTCGTACAAGAGCAGGAAGGCTCCCTCTCAAACGAAGAAAATCCTCCTAATGCCCAAGCATATAACTTGGCTAACCCTCCGTTTAAAATCCAAACAATATCCCATGGTGCGAATGACTGCACAAAAGTGTAATTTCCATCTCGTGTAATTGATCTACCACACCGAGTAAAACCGATGCGAATTCACTGCGAACCAAACGAGCATATTGTTTATCAGTAGTCTTCGTTCATAAAGTGCACGCAGTGAACTTACAACTCCTCCAGCAAAGCAGCGGGAAACCTCTTCTTCGGTTCTAATTTTAAATCAAGTTTTTATCAACTTTTGGAGCATAAAATAACCTGACTACATTGCTTTGTTGAAATTTCTCGCCCGCTTCCAGCAACGTCGTAAAGAATGAGGGACGAAGCGAAATCGCATCTAAAATGTACCCTCTCCCTTCGACCATGGCAAAACTTTAGACTATTATTGTGCTAAATTGATATAAATTGTATTACAAATAATCATGAATAAAAGATTCCGAGATCTTGTTGGTTGTGGAGGCTGCCTTGTTGCTGTTGTTTCAATTGTTGGAATCAGCCGTAATTTTCGCCCTTGTTTGGTCTGAATTTTTCGACCATCGAGCACCTACTGACGTTTATTCCCTGCCGGAGTGGTGAGATCGGAGTTCAAGTTGAAAGGTCTGATTGGATTGTATCGCCCTCTGACTTGGGTATAATCAAAGTGTTCAGCAAGATTCCAATGTTGTTGTGCAAGGTTTATGTTCCTACTTACTGTAGTCTTCCCATTAGGATAGGCTATAAGTTTCTATTTCTAGTATGTAATATACAAAATATATTCAATTGAAATCAATCGATGTAACTCTTTTACAAAGTTACAGCCTAAATTAGATTGATTTTTATTAAAATTAAAATTCAGTAATTTGAGCTGTACAATTTTGCGAAAGAGTTACATTGATTGATTTCAAATGGAAATATTTTTTTTACTTATCATTATGGGTTTTTAGTTTCGTATTAGGGGAAGTGTACCCGTATTGGCCATAGGTTTCTATTTTGGCCACACCTCAGAAAACCGATTAAATTACAATATTCGAGCATTTTGTGGTCGAAATGTGTTTGTACACCGATGAATATGATTTGTACCAACAAACTGAACGCAACTGAACATCTCAAAATTGTAAACAACGTGAAATATCGTCAAAAGATGGCCAAGTGGAACCAGTAGGCTGTGGAAATTTTACGTATTCAAAAGAGTTGTTTATTTTGTCAAGATAAACAACTTTGCCGGAGACACAAAGTCTCCAAAACTTCAGAGAAAGTAGTTAGATTGTGGCGCCATCTTTGCTGAAGAGTTTTGAACTATTTGTTTATGTCAATAGATGGTCCTTATTATGAAGAGAAACATTGCCCAAGACACCAAGTCGCGGTAATGCTTCATTTCGGAGTTATCAATTTTGATCCGCTAGATCTCATTTCTGGCCCAGTGTGCACTGTGAATAACTGAAAAATATAATTTTTCAAACACCGGAGCGCAAATTTACCAATTTAAATGCGTTCAATATAACAAAACAGTTTAAAATACTTCCAAGTTCGTGTAACATTTGGATGCTGCAGAATTATGGCGCACAAATGAATATCATTTGAATTAACAGACTTTCAATTTGTCTTCTATCTGTACATTGAAAATCAATTTGATTGTTTTTTAGTAACATAGAGCATAGGGCTATACACTGGCGCAGTGAGGTGGGGGGGGGGGGGGATTACCATGTGGCAAATATATCTTTTAATACAAAATGTGGGTTACACTTTTTCATATGCACAGAATGGGAATCGATTTTAGCGATTTTTTCTATAGACCACCTTTTGTGTGCGAAGTTTCCTACCTTTCGATGATGAAAATTGCATATCGACAAGCCAGTATGTTATTTATGTGTAGTTATCATTTCACATGAAACGAGGGTAGTCACAAAACGGTAAATGAAATGAAAGTTGAAGACATATATAAAGGTTGAACACGAAAAAATCCGATGCCAATAAGGCATTTTTGGAGTAATTTTATTTTCAAAATTTTACTGAATCAAGCTAAGAGTGTATATAATCACAGTAGGCATTGGTTGTTAGGATCAGTGCTGGAAAATCTCGACAATACACGGTGATATTGAAAATTCTGCTTTGGTCACTCATTTGACTTAACAGTCATCGTCAAGGCAAACCATGCCAATTGTCAATGCCAATGCTGTCAGTGACGAAACTGTTGAGAATTTTTTATAAACTAAATTTTTAACGAATTCAAATGACTTGAGCAACACAATTAAATGGAGCCGTTAGAGTGAACAAGCATCTACATTCTGAACTGCTTGGATAACAAGAATGTGTAACATAATGCACGAAATTACACTTTTTGTTACCAGGTGAATCTTTGTCGTTGACGAAAAAATGAATGAGATTTTGACGTATGTTTTTTGAAGATCAAGTCTGTCAGTGAATTTGTGATTTTTTTTTCAATATCGCGCGAAGGTCTGTTAATGACAATGACAAATCTCAGCACTGGTCAGGATAAGTTCATTTGTTTACATCATGGCTTCACCGGGGCAAGCACGTCGCGATTCGATCCTGCACGTTCACGAAAATCGTCGCCGCTCCTGTCGAAATTACCCAAAAAGTTCCTTGTTCCTTGTTCCTTGTGTGTTCATTTGCAGTTGTGAACTGAAAGCGAAACTTTCGTTACTTCTGGGACCATGAACCAGCAAATTTACCAGGAGGAGTGCCTACGGAAGAGACTACTACCAACAATCAATGCGAAACTAACGATTCTAAATTGGCTCACTACTTGATTAGCCTATTGGTCCTAAGCAAATCGATTAACGTACCCCATTCTAGTCGAAATTCTAGTACTACACTATGTTTGTTTTGATTTGCTATGAAAATTTTACAGATAAAATGAGGGGTTCTTGGATTTTCCTATGTTTCGAGGGGTGCATCGATTAGCTTGGGACTGAAGAGAGTACCAGAGCTGAGACAAAAAGTTGAACACGTTTCGTCGGGACCTTTTGGTCTACCTTTTCTGGAGCAGCATGAGGTGGATTGCCTATTCTGGCCGGATTTGTCAAGTTGCTACTACTTAAATTCCACCAAACAGTGGTACAGCGAAAATGGCGTCACAGTGGTTCCCAAGGAGATGAATCCGGCCAATACTCCGGAATTGAGGCCAATTGAGGAATACTGGTCAATTGTGAAGCTGTGAAGTATACTGAAGAAAAAGGGTGGAACTCAAGGGGTAGGTCATTCGTCACACCAATCTTAGCTCAACATTTTTCAAAGTTTGCCGATTGTACTGGCAGTGCCGGTCATAGAGCAAGCTCTATTTTTTTTTGTAAAATACGAATGTTATGGTATATTTGGCAACCCGGTATTTCTGACAGCTTGAATGTTTTGGTTTGCAATCGCAAGGATAACATCGGTCTAGCGACAGTCAAGAAGGAATGCTGACGAGATGGACCGTGAGTGGTGTCAGCTGGCCAACAGTACACATCAAAGAAAAAAAAGCCGGAGAGCAACCGGAAGTGTCCCTGCATCGAAAACCGTTGGATGCGATAGTTGAACGGCTCCGAATGTCGAATATCGTGCTAAATAAGGATGCCTTCTACCAACGAATAAAACGCCTCTACGCCTACTGGAAGGAACCAGAGTTTTCCCATGATAATTCGCTGTAGAAGGTGATTTGCATTCTGTCTGTGGTCGGTATACGAGCTGACCGATACGATGACGGTGATGTGTGAAAAGTCCATCTTTTTCGTGAACAGCAAGAAGAAGATCGTCTTCTTGAAGCAGATCGAGAAGGACGGTGGCGAGGGCATTCCGTCGGTGAAACTGTTGGTTCGGGATAAGAACGCCAAAGACAAGGCCAATTTTGAAAAGCAAGGGATCCAAGGATGACAAAACGTTGGGCGTCTTCTCCAAGGACAACTTCCCGGGTGAAAAGAGCTTCAACTCGGTGGACATCAGTGTCCCAATCGGGTACTTCTTGTGCTCCAAGCAGTACTCCGAGGTTATCATCATTCCAGTTCGTAGTACACTCCATTAACGTAGTAGACACACTGTGGCACACTGTGCTGAGTGACTTACCCCTTGGTGGAACTGCAATTGAACGGAAGGATTTCAAGCGGAAATTGAATTTAGCAGCCAAACAAGTGGGAACAGGGCTCATGCATAAGATAATGGGCCGTGTACGAAGAAAAGTTCGAGCAATGGCCTATGGTAACAAGGAAGACTTATTCAATGGTCTTACAATAAGCGTAATATCTACTGTGCTGTTACATTGAACTATGAAAAATAAAACGCATTTTTAAGCCCCATCAAGATTTTCGTATCCGGATTTTTTCGTGTTCAACCTTTAGTTCCAGTTGAGACGTAATAGCTATGAAGCATAATAAGAACTAATCAAAATTTGGAACTAAGGAATCATTATAGCAAAGGCATACTAACAGTCCTGGTGACTGAATTCTGAACTAAACTGTGCTCCATCCAATAAATCTTGTCCATCTGAACTACTTTGCCA